CTTTAATTCAAGTATTTCTAAAATGGATTGTTGTAAAATCTTCTTCTTTGAGAAAAAGTAAACAGGATCTATAGAGCCACAACAATAACCCAAAGTGTGATTCCACCAAGGTTCAACCATGGGGACTACTGAATGTAGTTGGAATTTTTTCTAGTCCTGTCTGGTCCACGGTCAGGACAAATCTCTCTCACCCGCCAGTCCAACAGCCGCTTAGACCCAACCGAGGAAACACACAGAGACTTATATTGTTTACAAACTGTATGGCCGTGTAGGCTTCTTGTTATTTATCTCTTTTATCTTAAAATAACCCATTTTTATAAATCTATACCTTGTCACATGGCTTGTGGCTTACCAGTATCTTACATGTTGGTACTCATGGCAGTGGCTGGCAGCGTCTCCTGACTCAGCCTTTCTGTTCCCAGAATTCTCTTCTCTGCTTGTCCTGCCTATACTTCCTGCCTGGCTACTGGCCAATCAGCATTTTATTTATACAGAGCGATATCCACAACAATTGAATTTAAAGATTTTCTTAAATCTAAATATATATATTACGAATATTACCCAACTCAGGTACTCTACAAGTTCAGTATGCGCTCTTAACTGCTGATGTATTTTTTTCCAGCCTAAACTAATGAGTTTTTTGGGGGGGCTTACTTACAGTGTGTGAGTCACCCCAGTGCAGCCACACTAGAAATTCTTCAGGTTAGATGATGGATTCCTTGTAGCTATGCATATGGAGTTACCCCGCCCCCACCGCCTCAGCACATGCACACACCCATGTACTCCAGTCCTTCTGTTACTACTGAAGCTGCACTGAATCAGGGGAGAATGACTTACAAATAGCTCCGAGCAGCTAGACCCTCAGACAAGGGTTAAAGGACCCTTCTTCCTCACTCTTTCTCTGATGTTAACAGGCAACAGTCCCACTCATGGTAGTTTTCTCTAAGCAGACACAGATGATCTGATGAAGACAGTGGCTGTTTTGTCTAGATTACTATATTCTCCCACACTGAATGAAATAATTTTCCTTTTCCTCCTTTTCCTTCCTTCCTCCCTCCCTCCCTCCATCCTTCCCTCCCTCCCTCCTTCCCTCCCTCCTTTCTTTCTTTTTTTCTTTCTTTTTTGTTCTTCTCTCATATATTACATCCCAACCACAGTTTCCCCAGACTCCTCCCCTCTCAGTCCCTTCCCCCCATCTCCCCTCTCCCTCAGATTCACTCCTCCTCTATTTCTCTTCAGAAAAATGCAGGGTTTCAAGGGATTTCAACCAAACATGGTATATCCAGTTACAATAAGATCAGGCTCAAACCCTCATATTAAGGTTGGACAAGGCAACCCAGTAGAAGGAAAAAGGTCCCCAAAGTACGCAAAAGAATCAGAGATAGCCGCCACTCTCATTGTTAGGAGGTACATGAGAACACCAAGCTACACAGCCATGACCTATATGTAAAGGACCTAGGTCAGACTCTTTCATGCTCCTTGTTTGTCAATTAAGTCTCTGTAAGCCCCATGAGCCCAGGTTAGTTGATTTGGTGGTCCATTTTCTTGTGATGTCCTCAAACTCCACCTGATCATTGGCTGTAGGTCTTTGCATCTGTTCCCATCAATTGCTGAATGAAGTCTCTCTGATGATGATTATGTTAGGCTCCAATCTAGAAGTATAGCAGAGTACCATTAGGAAACATTTCATTGACTTTTGTTTATTATTATTATTATTATTATGATGATGATGATGATGATGATGATGCTAGTCGTGTTTGGTATTTCCTAGGTCTCTGAGCTACCCAGCTTCTGGTTCCTAGCAAGTAACAAAGAGTAAAGTAATTTTAACATTATCTGAAAATTAACATAGTAAATTGAATTTTGGATTTAGCTCATTGCCAAAGGCAAGCCTAAACTAAGAAAAATAAAACAAATGATATTATTTAATAGTAAATATTTCAAAAGGGAATGATTGCACATTTAAAAAATTAGAGGTCTAATGAATTAAAAACTGAACCTATTCATTATGATGACATATATACATGTATATGATGCCATATACATCTTTATTTTATGCTTATTTATTGTATTTGTGTACTCATAGCACATATGAATTAATATATTGGAAATATATGCTATTAATTTAAATTTCAAATAAAGACGTTTACTTTTACAAATGCCCTTGAAAAGTTTATATTATAATATATATGTATATGAGTAGATAATGTATGGTAATGCTAAAATAAATTATACATCCAATTAACATTTCTGTTCATCAGTAAATGATACCTCTCAAAGTCATTATGTGAGCAAAATCCCAATTTAAATTGGGAACCACTGGCTGGGGAAATGGCTCAGTAGTTAAAAGCACTGCTGCTCTTCCAGAAGACATGGGATCAGTTCCCAGCATGTCCATCCAGCAACTCCCAACTGACTGTAACTCCAGCTCCAGATCTTCTGGTCTTGATGGGGTACCTGCAAATACATGTCATATACACCTACAGACAAACACATATACACATAAATAAAAAAATTTAAAAATAATTCTAATTGTCCTGAAAAAAATCCCAAATCAGTGATGTTTTATTTTTATTTTTAAACACTCAAAATTTTAGTATTTAGCTTATGGACGACTTGCAATTTTTAATGTAAAATGAATATTTCATTCACTTAATATGTATGTAAATATTTCCCAAGGTAGTTAATTTCACATTAAATTTAGCATAGTTTATTTTGCTAATATTTAAATAATCAGGGCCCTTCTGAATCTATGATTTCTTCCTTGATTTACAAGCTCCATTGTTCAGGCTTGCACCCTAGTATACTCACATTGTATATGCTTCTCAGCAAACAACCTCCCAGCATCACCAGTAGGTCTTAGAAAGCCTTTCTTCCCCCTAAAATAGATCAAATATATATTTTATACACTGACCTCATCATCATACAATTTATGTGTACTGTTTTTATTAGCCTACTTCTCTGTCTTTGTGAGAAATTTTTTTGTACTCCTATGCCTTTATTTTGTAGTTATTTTCATCATGCATAGCCCAATTTGTATCATAAATAATATGTATATATTTGAGAATCGAGTGGCAGAATGAACAAATTATAAGATCATATTGTAAACTATTAATAGTGGAAAGAAAATTATATGATGTCTGTTTCTCATGAGTAGGAAAATGTAGTAATGGTGGCTTTTAGGGAAACTTAAGTAGTTTCTTTTATGCAAACATATGAGAAACAACTGAAACCAGATTTCCTAAGGTATTTGAATGTATCTTTTTGTGTTTTATCATTACCAAACAGAAAGATAGTGTGACTTATAAGGAACAAAATCCGCTTGGTTCATTGTGCAGGCTGGACAGTTCAACATCAACAGTCTATATTAAGGGAAGCACTTCTTCCCACATTAGCCTTGGCCTTCAGGAGCAAACCACAACAGAGGTATCACGAGGAAAAGGTAACAGTAGGAAAGGAAAGGGAGAGCTCCAGAGGGAGGGAAGCAGAAAGAAGGAGCGAGAGGAAGAGAGAGAGGGAACTGATACTCCAGGGAATTTTATTATTGCTATTTTCCGAATAATTGTTCCTGTGATGTTTTAAAATATACATTCCACTGACTAGGGAAACAATACAATGTCTGCCTCAACATCGTAATAGTAGGAAAAGTTAAAGCTGTGCTCAGTGCAGATACTGCTGAAAAACCAGATGTACTGCAACAGGTCCTTCCGGATCTGCTTCTCATTCTTAAAAAATAAGCCCTGTGAGCACACCAAAGGCTTGCACTCAAAGTATCTATTCTGACTTTGCATATTACTGCCATCTTAAGGAACAGACATAGAATTTCTACACATATTTTGAGGCACCTTGGATGTCCAACAATAGTACTGAGTTTACAGTACTATTACTGAAAAAATAAATGGCTAATAATGTCTTCATTGACTATCACATCTAGAATGAGTCCATGGGACTAGATGAAATGATTGATACTTATTTAAATTGGTAAATACAGTGTTGAGAAATAACATGGAAGATAAGTTTGTATGCACAGTAGAATACTTAGATAACATCTAAAACAAAATGTTATCTCATGAAATATCACCATTGTATCTACCCTATCCAACCTCCATATCCAATCTCTGTCAATAATTTTGAATATGATCACTGAGAATATTGCAGAGATGGAAAGCAATAGGAACTGGAGGGAATATAAAAGAAATGTCATTAGTTTCTTACTCAGTCATACTTTACATATGCTTTTCCATGATAATTCGAGTATAATAATTTTTCACCTCTAGTCCTAGAGGTTACAAATCAAATTATTTTTAATCTTACATGTTTGTGAATTAAATCTTTCCACAAGAATGAAACTCCTTATATTGTTGATGTTCATGATTGCAAATTTTATTTTCTTTTGCTGGTGCATGATTCCAGAATTAATGATGTTTAGGTGTTCTTAGAATGAGGCACTTCTGAAATATTCCTAAAGATAAAGATGGGAATAATGTTTGATATATTCAAGGCACTCTGAATAACTCAAAATTACAAAAAGTCTCTATTATTTGCACTCGTGGTAAGTACTTTTTATCAGCATTTTTTTTTTTTTTTTTTGAGACTTGGTTTTACTCTGTAGCCTTGGATAGACTGGAACTCATTGTGTAGACTAGATTGGCCTCAAACTCACAGTAGTCCACCTGCCTCTACTTCCTGTGTGCTGGGTTTAAAATCATGCACCACTCTACCCAGCCCTTCATCAGCATGTTTGAGAAGCTGCCTTGGTACTGTCTATGTTGATATTATGTAGTGATCTGGCCTTCCTTAGCTGTGGTTTATCTTAAATGATCTAAACAGCAGTTTTTGCATGAAATTAGTGTTAAATTTCAACATTGCATTTTAAACAGAAAAGTAATATAAAACTGTAATTTAGCAGTCTTTATCAGCAGTTGCTGCATTTGCAGATAGCTCCTCAGCACTGTTTCTTTTAAGGTGGTACATCTCTAAATACAATTTTATATTTACAGGGTCCTCCTGGTGCTCCGGGTTCAGAAGGAAGGCAAGGCGAAAAAGGTGCTAAGGTAAAATGTGTAGAAGAGATATGTTAGGCCGTTTGTGCGTGGAAAGGTATCCGTGTCAACACATTAAATGATAACATGTGCCTATCATTATTAATGTGCACATATGTTTCATTTTCAAACAGGGAGAAGCTGGTGCTGAAGGGCCTCCTGGGAAAACTGGCCCTGTTGGACCTCAGGGTCCATCTGGAAAGCCTGGTCCTGAAGGTCTTCGAGGCATCCCTGGTCCTGTGGTGAGCATCTGTGCTAAGAGGGACTGCTATGAAAATTACTTTAAGTTTCAATATCTATAAATTAAAATGCTTGTGAGGTTGTTGCTTCATAACTTATATTATGGTTTATGGAAATCCAGTATTTCTATAGATGTTACTAAGTGACAGTTTAAATAACTTAATAATACATTTAAAAATATTTAAGTATTTCATTTATTTTTGATTTTGTGGTAAAGTTCTAATTTACTAAAACAGAAGAAAACTAAGTTCTGAAGTCACAGTGATAAAAGATTTTATTCATATATCTTTGTATATATCTGTGGGTTTGTATGTGTTTATATAAGTATATGTACGTGTATACATGAGTGTATGTGCATACACAGGAACAGAGAATTAAAGAAGAAAATAACCTTACAGTATTTGTGTGTTCTGAGGTGGTACAATTTACAGATGCAACTTCTTTTCCCTCTGTACGTCCAACATTTAAAAGTAATAAATAGTCTTGGTTAGCAAACAAAGTTTCATTTTCTTTTATGTAGGGAGAACAAGGACTCCCTGGTGCTGCTGGCCAAGATGGGCCACCTGGTCCGCTGGTGAGTGACATTTTTTCATTATTTATAGAGAATTTCCTAAATAAAATTGTTTGTGAGCTAGAATTTGTGAGTGCTATCTTATGCAGAGGTTTCTACTTTTCCAGAGAGAATATTACACGTTCAAGGAGAAAAAAAATAGCATGTAAAATATGCCACTTGGCCCAGAGAATATTCCTTCTTCATACCCTTTAGAAGAAAAAATATATTTTCTACTCAGAAGAAAATACTACAAATGGTGCGAGCAGTTATTTTCTCGGTGCAGACAGTTCCCCAAAGTGCATGTGATTAAACTTCATTTCTGGGCCCTCACGTATAGAGAAATATCGGTAGACAAAGGTAGATGGTTTTCCTTTTGAGATAAATAGGTTCAGAAACAGGACATTATCCTGGGCTCTAAAAGAGCATGTGATTGGTTTTATGATGAAGATGGACAGTGAATTCCACATACAAACAGCGTGCTTAATAAAAGCACTGAAGCATGGGCTCCCCCAACGTCTTACGGTCCAAAGTTGTTCTTGATACAATATGGACCTGAAGTGAAAATGAAAACATGTCCTTTAAAATCATTGTTTACCTAGTCACTTTCATTTATAAATTGACTCAATTGGTACAGGTTTTTAAACATCAATTTTTACATAACTATGTCTGAAATATTAATCAAAGAAGTAAATGGAACTCACAACAATAAGGGAATATGATACAGTTTACTTTAAATAACCAAATTCTTTCGTAAAGTAATTTTAACTTTTATTGCATTTCTCTTATCCTAAGCATAGTTTTTACCTAGGATATATACAAGTGCAGCAAGCATAAAAATTGGAACCATACTCTTAATTATTCAGGACATATTCAGCTATTCCTTTTATTAAGGAAGCCACAAATAATATCATAGTCAAAATAAAATTCATGTGTTAAAATCTTTTGAAACTCACACTGGAGAAGTTAGATTGCTTATTCAGTAACTGGATAAGTGTTGTCAAGCCCTTAATTGACTTGATGCAGGAGATTACTAGTTATCTACTCTATACATAATCTCATTATCATAGAAATTGAGCCCTGGGTGAAGCTGGGTAAGCTCTAGGTCTGCATGGCTATTTAGGAAATATTCTCCTTTGATGTGGTAAAGTCCTAACTGCAGATTCAGAGTCTGGTAGCAAAATGCTTTCCCTAAATATCACCCTAAAATTTACCTGGGTTCTTTTTTTTTTTCCTGTAATGTTAGATTTTCCAATAAGCATTCTGACCTTTCAGCAGATGAAATAGAAGCACATTGCTGGAGATTTCCTTTAGTTAATGTTAAAAATAAAACCATCAGACACACCAGCTGATTAAAGTCTGCAAAATTTGTATTTCTAATGCTTAAGCAAATGTGAGTTTACAGTATAAGAAGGATGAACAATTCAAATCCTTTCTGGAAAACTGCAATGGTAAGCATTGGGGAGTCCAACACACACGTACTCATTCCCTGGCTGCTGGTTTCATTTGGGAATCTTATGATGTGAATATATTACATATAGCTTTTTCATAACTTCAATCAGTCTGATATCTGGAAAATGCTACTTAGTCCTCAGCAGAAGAGAGCAAGTAGAGAAGGCATCTGCAGAACGCCATATATAATGAGCTTTTCTACTCAGCTAAAAATGATTTATTTTAGAAGTAACATGTTTTAATCAGAGTGAGAGATATTATTACAGATACAGGTTAAACTCACCCACTCTCAAGGCAAGCACATTGTTTAAATAAATTATCAATCCTATGTGCTTGTGGGATGACATTAGGATCCATGCTCCTTCTCCGTTCAACCTCTATATTTCACAGGGAGAATAGTAAGGGCAGCTGGCCCTATCCCATAAAAATGATATTAAGTTTAACTAAAGTTAACAGAGATGATATTTTCCTCCTAATAGGTTTTTATGTTTATTAGATGAGCTCTTTTTAAAGCATTTACAAAACTAATGGATAGTAATACCACTGAATAAAGAATTATCAAATGAAGGAAATAATTATAACTATTTCTAAATGATCAGCGTTACATTTTTAGTGAGTGTGACTAATTGGTACCTAAATTCACATTTATGTATAGCTAATACTCTGGATAAGAAGTTGCTGACAAGGCAAATGAGATTATTCTTAGAGCAGCTACAATGTAGCTCAGTGAGTCCTGTGGCAGAGGCAAGCAGAGGATGCCATTCCCAGATCACCTGTGTGTTCGCTTCCATTTACTAAGAAAGTAGAGGCTTACGTGAGGATAAATGTGGGAGATGAGACTGAAATATTTGAAAGTTCAGACAGGTTTGCATTGGATTTAAAAAGTAGTCCATGTGAAATGTATATGAATATTTCTTTATTCAAATTATGTTTTCCTCCTAGTTACAAAGACATTCACACTCACATCAAAGACTATGTAGGTAGATCTCCACAACTAACTCCCTATTAAAGTCTTTTCTTCTTGAAGCTGCCTAACACTTCCTATACAGAAATGTTCGACCACAGATCTTATCAGAGCATTCCCGTTTTGTTTTCTTAAAAACCACCACCACCACCAACAACAACAACAACAACAGCAACAACAAAAGCCTCTGTTTTTTAACTTCATTTTGAAATGGGTATTATCTTTACATAGTCCTGGTTGGCCTTAATTTCGCTATGTAGCTCAGAGTAGCCTTGATTTGAGACCTTGCCTCAGACCCCAGGTACTATATTTCAAAAGTGGCTCTTCAGGCTCAGCTGTAAAACTAAGTTTTTGTGATAATATATAACTTAAATCTCTGTGTATCCTCTCTGTATCTATCTCTATCTTTCTCTCTCTCTCTCTCTCTCTCTCTCTATATATATATATATATATATATATATATATATATATACACACACACACACACACACACACACACACACACACACACACATATATATATATATACACACACACACACACACACACACACACACACACACATATATATATATATATATATATATATATATATATATACAGAGTTACTTCATAGAATTCAAAACAAATATATAGCAGATATGAATCTAACAGAAAACTGAAAAGACAACGATGAAACTGTTGTTTTGTAAGTAGAAGTACTTCTTGAGCAATCAAGAAGTCTAAAATGGGCATGTCTCAAAAAACAAAGAATGTTGAATAAATTCAGATGTCCATTATAAGATCTCAGTTAACATTGTTAAATATTTTAAAAAATATGTTTACAAGCATAATTAATGCTATAGTAGTTGTAAAATTTTTGTTCTTTTACATTAAGCACCTACTCATTTTAATGATACTGGAAAACTACTCAGTTTTATTTTCTGTCAGTTTTAATATCATAAATATCTTTTTTAAGAAAATTATAAATACCCGACAGCATCAATTTTTAAGCCTACAAACCTAAAGAAAAGGGAGATGGGTTACTGAATTATTTACTTTGTTTTCTTTGATGCTTCACATAAACTCTGCAACAGGGTTGTAATACGTGGCATTCTATAGTGATTGAATGTGTTTAAATATGAAGATATTTGATTTTTTTTTTTAAATTTAGCACTACTTCTTACTATTATCATCTGAGCCACGTTTGGGGTGTACAGTTCTCTTAAAACCCAATGCTCTACAGTTGTGAATTGTAGGTCAAGGCAGATATTTCACAGGGCATAAAAGTTCAGGACAGAGTATTCCCTTGTATATTTTGAATGTTTATGAATGCATGGTTGCTGTTTCCTTTTTCTCTTTATTGTTTATGAATTATGTATTTCCCCAAGGGCTTTCCATTTACAATATCCTGAAGAGGAAATACCGAGTATGAACACTTGGAGTCATATTTTTCTATGCAGAGCTGAAGTTTTTAATCTCTTCCATACAAAAAGAGAGAGAGATCTATAACTGTGTTCACTGTCATAACATTACTAATTTTTGTTTCCAGTCACTGAAAACATAAGTCTGATTTGGATTAACAATATCATATCCAGCATGGTTTGTAGTTTTCTAGGATCTTATTAACTTAGGATAATGTCCTTTACCTCTAAACTCCTTCATGAACAGTATTTATAGAAAAAACTTAAAAATGAATTTAACACTCAATGTCTAATACATTTCTTCTTAAACCTGAGGAATTATAATTGTTAGCATTTCCCCTTAGTTATGATGGAGTAAGAAATTTGTGATAATATTTGCATTGTGCTTTGCTATTTATTTAGGCAGCTTTTAAGCTAGATTCCTTTCATTATGTTAACATTAACATATTTTTATTTTTAAATATTGTGAATAATCTCAGGAGTGGAAGGTCTTGGACTTGGACATGTGTGACTTTAACAATGGTTGAGCTGTGGGTGCCCAGTGAATGTGCACGTCAGTTTTCCCTCTGATAGAACAATTTCTATGAATCATCTCATGGGCCTGATAGACTGAATATAAAATGAGAAAAGAAGAAATATGGTCCCTTTTCATATTTCAAATATATATAGATAATGGGTTGAATTTTGACTGGTATATGTCAGATTTAACCAGGATTCTTAGTGGTTTCTGCTACTTGAACTCATGTGTGGTTCTTTATTGCAATCGTCTTTGTTAGAACTGCTTATTCATAGTTTTATACCTCTTCGTTCTAACACTGAGTGTGTCACTTATACCAATGATACCATAAGATAAATTATTTAATGATTTCACTTACCCATGTACATTGTTTCTTTAACATGTTCTGTTGGAGGTTCATATAAAGCCATCTTAAAAGTGGGCTATATTGTTTTGGGAGTCACTTGGACTTCTGACACCATTTGAAAAGTGCTTAATTTTCACTGGGATTTTGTTAGTCTGTGGTTCTTTTTGGTTATCATTGTCAAGCTAAGTGCCTAACTCATTCACACACACACACACACACACACACACACACACACACACACACACACACACACGAAGTGTGAGAGAATTAGTAAGATAAGGGTGATATGAAGTGGGAAACAGAGTAACAGATAATGAGCTCCAATGAGGAGGAGGGAGGGAGATCAGTACCGAAGGAGGAGAGGGAACAAATAACGCCAAAGAAACCTCAAGGAATCAAATAAATAATCCTTTCCTTCAATCCCCCTCCTGATAGCATCTGTTTTCTCAACAGTTTCATTTTCAGTGGTTCAGAAAATATGCAGATTTTTTTACTAACTCAAACTGTTCATAACAATGTCTGAATTTTAAATTTGAGAACACCTTGTTTGTATATAAGGTTTATCCCATGCTCATCAATTTGAACATCTCTATGATTTAAGCTGTTAGTTGCTAACATGATATCACACTTTTCTTGGAATATTTACTTAAATAGATAAATGTCATAGTTTTGTACTATGAAATGTTAGATTCTTGAATGAGATAAATTAGTATGGAAGAAGTACTTTTCTTTATATTTCAATTCATGTCTCTAAAAGTAAAACATTTAATTTAGAAATTATAATTGATATGAATTTTTGGAAGTATAAAAGAAAAGGCTAATAGTATCCATTGTTAAAACAGTTTCAAAAGTTGAAGAATTTGGGAGAGGTCTCCAATAAACGATTAGGAATGAACTCCAATTACTTAAGTGATGAAGAAAACCCTACATTTTATGTGTGTTCTTTGCACTGTAATGGAAGAAGAAAATAATGTTGGGTCAAGTCTATAAAATTAAGGTCGAGTCCTTTTATTGTTTGTAAGCTTATATCTGCTTCTTTGTTAATAAAAGGAATTGTATTACAATGATCATTTCCAAAACTCTAGCGGTTTCTAAGGCTTACGATAATCTATAGCAAAACTGAAGCCTACCATTCCTCTTGACTTTGCCATGTAGCAGCCTCATTGATACATTGGCCCTGAGACCTTCCAACCCAATGAATCCACTTGATCTTTCTAGAGTCCTTAGTTAGCAAGCATTTTAATCACAATAAACTTTTAAGGCAAAGAAAAATAGTCAAGTATCAATATTCTAAAATATAGATGTAGTCAAATCACTCTATTAAAATTTGGTAAAACCATTTCTGGCTCACAAGTAAGAAATTTCAATTAAGATTTGAGAAGTTTGTACATTTCTTTTTATTCCTAATTCTGTTCAGTAAATTCTTATAATGAATATTGTTTTCACTCATTCTTCTGTCTGATATGCATGAACCTTTTCTGTCTTTAAATTTTTGGAATCTGATTCAGTGCACTTCCTTTGAGACTCACTTTTAATGATTTGCTAAATTGCCTTGTCACTCTTTAACATATATTGCATTACCTTGCTGAGTAACACTATCTTCTCCTTGGTGATTTTCACCACTCTGAAAAGTAGTTCAATGTGATAGGCTAAGAGAATGTTGGGCTTTCAGATTCCTGGATTTGAATTGCATGTCAGTTCTTATAACTTAAGTGACTCTTCCTAACATGTTAACAGGATGAAAAAAACTACTTCGTTATTATTGCTGTGAATATTGAAAATGTAGGATTAAATTATATTGGGATCATTGACTATCTTAGTATATCTTTCTCTCCAGAGATCACAGTATATCTACTTATATTTAAGAGTATATACAGAACTTGAAATAAGAATTCAGAGACTTAGCGATAGCCTTTTATGATTTCAAGTTAGTATACCAGAAGTCATCTTTTAATTCTCTACAGGATTAGTTACCATTCCAAGTTATCCAATATACTTTTTACTCAAACACAACAACATAATATTTATCTGACTTTTTCTGTGTTGTCTAATATCACTTGATTATTAAAATCTTGAATTATTTTTTAATTTTACTGAAAATATTGTAACGTTTAAAATTAGAGTTTACTATAGAAGTATTTATGGACTGCATATATAATTTGTAAATTCATTCTGCTTCAATTATTATAACTAATATTTTATGCTTTCTTCTCAGATGAGAATCCATATAAGCTGTATCTTTTTTCTAATTATTTAGTCAAAATTATCGGTATTATTATTACTCATTAACTCCATGATATTTTAAGACCATGAATTTCTCTACAGTCCTAACAAATGCAATAACACTAGTAACCTTGACTGAACTCTGTATTTCAAAAAAAGAAAAAAAAAGCCTGCTCTACAACTCAAAATGTGATTTTTTAATGCATATCCTGTTTTGGACATTGAGACACAATACTTGCGAGAAGCAACTTGGAAAAAGAAGGACTTATTTTAGCTCTAAGGTGCAATGCAGGGAAGACATAGTGACTAGAACCAGCTACTGTCTCTAATGCAGGAGCTTGAGGCAGCATGCTCAAATAAGAAAGGTTGAGTAGGAAGCAGAGATGAGGTCCTATCCTGGCAGCCTATAGCCTTCCTGCTCATCCCTACAGTTCTATGTGCGCACTAGGCCTGGAGCCCAGAGTTCTGTAGCCTTCCAGAAGAACACCAGCAAATGGAAACAGAATCGAACACAGGATCTGGTGGGGGATGTCTCACAGGATCTGGTGGGGGATGTCTCACGTTCAAGCCGTAATACCCATTCTCAATACGTGTATTTATTTTCTTTTCATTCAGGGACCTCCTGGTTTACCTGGTCTCAAAGGTGACCCTGGCTCTAAGGGTGAAAAGGTAAGAGTAAAAGAATGTGTTATTAGAACTTTATAACAGTAATAGCAAATGTGATAACTTTCTCAGTCACTTAAAAAGCATTTTCAAACCCTACCACTCATTCTGATCATCGGTAAAGATAACAATTCTCAGATTGTCAAATGTATTTAGAGTAGAAAAAGTATGCAGATAGTGTGGAAAAAAATGCTCCAGCATAAGTGCTGTTTCCTTTCAAGGATCCGTTTTAGAAACTGTATGGAGATATCATATGCTTATGCTAAATAACTCCCCCGAAAATAGACTGAATAGCAGTGACCATTTTTATGATTTTAAACATGAAAATAAACGTTTTTAAGCCAGAAATGTTTTTCAAGTAATAATATATTCTTCCAGAATTTATATTGTTTTACCATATAAGAAAAGTGAGCCATTTGTATATTGGAATGAGTATGGTTTGGATGGTTTTTGTTTCTCCAGAACTCTTCTAAGGACAAAACAGCCCCTGAAAAGTAGGAAACAGTTCATATTAAATGAGATGCTTACTAAAATAATGAGTTCTCTGGTTTTTATATTTCCAGTACTCTATTTGGACATTATTTTTTTTAAGTTTATCACAAATGAAGCACTAATGATTATTATTCTTGTTCTTAGAAAATTCTTTATCAGTAATACTCCTGCACTTGTAAGCAGTAAATGGTCTGTTATATTAGATGGAGGTTCTGAACTTTAAATTTCATACAGAAGTGTTATAAAAAAATTCCTCCATTCCTTTGATGATATTATGTCCCATGAATTTAGTAATCAAATATTTTATGACTAGAATTTAATCATGGCTATAACACATATAACTGAAGTTTGTTTACTTCCTTTTCTATAGGGACATCCTGGTTTAATTGGATTGATTGGTCCTCCAGGAGAACAAGGGGAAAAAGGTGACAGAGGACTCCCTGGGACTCAAGGTTCTCCAGGAGCCAAAGGGGATGGGGTGAGTCCAGTGCAGACGGTTCTCCCACTTCATTATATCAGCACAAATATAAGTTGCACAATCACACATTTTTTCATCATAATCATTGTAGTGCTTTAGGGCACTCCTAGTGTATTCTGCTTTAACCCATGCTGTTTTTTAAATATTTTCATAAATTAAAAATATGATTTATGTTAAAATAATAAAAGATACAGTGCTGTAGATGTCTGCACATACTATTCTTGAATACACATCACATGCAGACCTTATTTTGAGAGCTACAGGGATGCCAAAATGTATGTCCATATGGTTTTCATGGTAGAGTCACAATGTGAAAGCCCTATATTGCAATGAATGGCAAAAAGTTTGGATTACCACAAAAAAAGAGTCTCTTTTATTCATAATGAAAGATTCTTAGATATTTTTAAGTTTTCAGAGCTTTGTGATGGATGTGGCAAAACATGAAAATGAAATGAACTGAGAACCTAATTACGTTTGATGCTGTTTCTCTCCTAGGGCATCCCAGGTCCTGCTGGTCCCATAGGGCCTCCTGGTCCTCCAGGATTACCAGTAAGTTCAATTGAAAAGAAACATGAGGTAAAATGACAATCATGTCAGTGCAATCTGTAGTCCACACTTCTACCTGTGTATTTGTCTTTGTGTTTTCTAGGGTCCTGCTGGCCCGAAGGGTAACAAAGGATCTTCTGTAAGTGCTTTTCTAATTTCCATATAATACTCCATTATATGAAAGCCTGTTGAATTTCCTTCTCACTTCATAGATTTTCCTGTTTGCTTTCTAACAGGGACCTACTGGCCAGAAGGGTGACAGTGGTCTTCCAGGGCCTCCTGGGCCTCCAGTAAGTGTATATTAGCAAGAAAAATACTCTATTAATAGGCAAATGGGTGCAGGCATTCATTTCTATGGACTTTCATAACAAAGGGAAAAACAAATTCTGCCCAAAATATTGATTTTGTAGAAAAATGCAACTAGTCCCCTTAGGTAATCAATCTACGTGTCAAGATTCATGTTTTAATTGCTATCACTCCTAAATATAAAGATTTCTTAATTGTATACTATAATAAACATCAAGTTTTCAAGATACACAGTCTGGTCCCATGAAATTGACAGAATATATGCCCACAGAAATATATTTATAACTGACTCCAGATATAAAGAAGAAAACTCAGATCCCACGGTGTTTTTTCCTACTGCATATAGTGATAGCGATACATGAAACAATAATAGTAAGTGCCGTTTATTAGCAGTGACATTTTCCAAGGTGTTAGTACTAAAGTGTAGACCTATATATAAAAAAATCATAAGCTGTCTTTCTGCTCAAGTGTCTCCGACTGTTTGTGTATTGCTTTAGTCGGACTACAGGGCCGAAGCTCAGCAGGCTGCCACTGTGCAGGCTTGGAATCCTAAAACGAAGTCTCACAGGCTTGGTTTCCTCTGAAAGCTGTAGGGAAAGGAACTATTTTGAACTTCTAAGCTTATCCATGACATCCTTTTCCTACTCTTTCAACCTTGCCCAGATCTGTGTTTCTGTGACCATTTTTTCTTTTTTTTTTCATATGAACACCAGAGTAATGCACTAGACCTCCCAAAGTGATTTCATCTTATTTAGTTATATCTTCAATCATGCAAGTTATGAGAAAGATTTCATTCTGAATTATTGAGCTGCAGGTCAGAAATACCATACGTACATATATATGTTGGGCCCAAATTAACCAGTGATGATACAGATTAATAATTTGGTGTGGTTGTACTCTCACATACAGGTAAATTCAAGTTGACAGCATTTACTTCCAGAGTAATACAGAATAATATAAATCTATACATATTTGAATAGGATATGGAGCAGATTTTTTCAGTACTTCAGAAGCTATTACTGAATAAAGTAGAAAAAAATTGGATAACCAAAGAGCTTTGTACCAGTGTTCAAATCCCCAGAAATTCTGATATCTAGTTGTGGTAATGCTATATAAATCAAGACTAATTTAATAAGAGACAGAGTGACCTATATAACATGTCAGCAAATTTCCAAAATATGTCAATATACAGATCGTGTAACAGCAATGATCTGATTTGTATACCTACCGTAATATCTCTACTATGATCTTTTAAAAGAACTTATATAAATATATGTCTAAAAATCTTTTCATATATTAGGTATTATTAGTTTAGCTACTGATAGCTAACCCAAATAATTCGTAAGAAGAATATAATAAGTAGTAAGTAAATTCACAGAATATCCTATTTTCTGAAATGATGATGTTGATATCCATCCCCTTACAGGGTCCTCCTGGAGAAGTGATCCAGCCCTTACCTATCTTGTCACCCAAGAAGACAAGAAGACACACTGAAAGCATTCAGGCCGATGCAGGGGATAATATTCTTGATTATGCAGATGGAATGGAGGAAATATTCGGTTCCCTCAATTCTCTGAAACAAGACATTGAACACATGAAGTTTCCCATGGGCACACAGACTAATCCAGCACGAACATGTAAAGACCTGCAACTTAGCCATCCTGACTTCCCAGATGGTATGTCAACAATGACTAAAAGAATACCCTGGGTTACTCAGCCACTGAAGTGCCTTGTCAGCTCATTCATTTTTGTTAATATAATTAATAATGTCTCTAAATGAAGCTAAACCAAATATCTATTACTTTCAGCTTTGTAGATGGAAAAAATAACTTATTTATACCATGCAGTCCAAGAAATGCTTTGGAAAATCCTCTGCAATATCATGTTTCATTAAAATTTGACAAGATTATTTTTGGATACTTATCATTAGCACAGATATATTTGACCATAAAAACGGCTAACAGCATAATATTATATGTGCACAAACATGCATGCAAGTACATTTATTTCTAACTTACTGACTTAATGTTAACAACTAATCTTATATTGAAATGATTGCATTAATATTAACTAATACAGATATGTTAATATGATTTAGTGCATTAATCTGAATAATATTTATAAGTTAAGTAGCTTAACAGCTGAATATTTGATCCATGGAATTAGCAAATACAATATGTAAAAATCATGATGACTTGTGGCAAAAAATTTAGTTTTCAGAGCTGGAGGGCATTAAGAACAGTAGATGCACTGGACCTGCCTGGACTGAGTCCACTAGGTTGATCTCAGTCCTCGGGGGAGGCTTTGCCCTGGATGACGTGGGAATATGGGGTAGGCTGGGCGGGGGGAGGGGAGAACAAGGGAATCCGTGGCTGATAGGTAGAACTGAATTGTATTGTAAAATTGAATTAAATTAAAATTTTAAAAAATGAGCAGTAGATGCTCTTGCAAAGAAGCTGGGCTCAGTTCTCAGCACCCACAGGATAGCTTACAACTGTCTGTAATTCCAGTTCCAAAGGATACTTAGAACTTCTTCTGGCCTTCACAGGAATCAACATGCATAAATTGCCCATACATACATTCAGACGAAACAATCATAGACATAAAATAAAACTACATTTCTTTTTAAAATTATTTTCCATTGATGCTCACATGGCCAGACAGCTACAACCAGTTCACTTAATAGTAATAATTCTTTACTGTGCATACAGCCTGCAATGCCTTGTGTCTCTCCTGTCTGAGGTGTAAACAGTTTTGGGTTTGATAAATAATTGGTAAAGTCATCTAATTAGTAAATTATTGAGTGGTAAATACTTATCCAAATTCTTGGTCTTTCATGTTTTTCTGAAGTATGCCCATATGTCTTTTAGTCCCAGAAAATTATTGTTTTGCATGATTGATTTCAAATTAATATTAAAAGCCATGAATATATAACTCAGTATTTCCAGAAAAGTCAAATATAATTCACAAGTAGCCCTATAAAAGAAAACCATCATAAACCTTATTATCTTAAACACAGTTCATTAACACTAAAACATAGTAATTGGATCCTACATAAATGGGTATCCATGATTCTTAAATCAGTATTTACTTCAAAAGATACATTAGGTCCACTTAATAAAGAGATTTTTACTTTTAACTGGTATCATATAAGTAAAAAGGTGGTGTGATTTAGCTTAACATATGCTAGAAAGTTGCTCTCCCTATTCTTTTTAAAATCAATGACAATTAATAGGTTCCTGTTTGGTTCAGAGGACACCGAAATGATTATAAATGAATGTGACTATGTCATGCATGTTATACACCTCATAAATCAATAAATGATTTAATCATGCAAAACTAATCACCAGGTGTAAAAATAAGAACCTCTGTTGAGTTATGAACCATGAATGATGTAGAAGTAGAGCTAAAATGAAAAATACTGTAAATTCCAGAAATGTTGAGCCCCCTGTGAGCTATACTTTCCAATAATCTCTGTATAGTACCCCACTTCATTAATACTTTTGAGCACTAATTAAATGAGATTATCTTTATTTGTTACATATTTATGAGCATTACATACATTATTGAGCAGTGATTCTAACTACAGGTACTCATATTTGAATATAAAACTAATGGCCTGGAGGTGATCCTCTAACTGTATAGATAGGAAAGCACAAGGTAGCATATTTATGATATTTGTTATGAAAATAGTATGCATGTATTGCAATAAGAAGATGGGTCTACTTGGGTTAAAACAATGCTAGTAACTTTGAAGATTTTATTTTCTCTGAAACCATAAAGAGATGATCAGTCATGCTAAGCATCAAAAGATTATTTCAGGAAAAGTGTGGCAAACATTGGAAAAACTATGATGAAGCAAAACCCTAATATTTTTTAAACTCTCCAAAACAACTCACTAAGACTAATCAGTGGTGAACAGCCAGCTAAGTGATTTGTAGCAAATTAAAAGAACACAAAACAGTGTCAATGGAAGCTGGACAAGGAGCTGATAGACTATTCTAGAGGGAAAAAAAAAGATGATTTTGAAATTTATAGATAAAACAGTCTTAACTGAGAGACAAATTGAACATAGTACCTATGAGATATGGAACCATTTAACATTCTAAGTTTTTATTTATTCTTTGTATGCTTGGGTATTTTGCATATATATCTGTGCATCACATGCATACCTGATGCCACAGAGGCCAGAAGAGGGCAATGGATGCCCTGGGACTGGAGTTACAGAACGTTGTGTACCTCCATGTGGATGTTGGGAAATGAATTGAGATCATCTGGAAGAGCAGCCAGTGCTCTTAAGTGCTGAGCCACCTCTCCAGCCCTGATACTCAACCACTTTACTGAACAAATGTATCTTAAGAATTCATCCATTGCCGGGCGGTGGTGGCGCACGCCTTTAATCCCAGCACTCGGAGGCAGAGCCAGGCAGATCTCTGTGAGTTCGAGGCCAGCCTGGGCTACCAAGTGAGTCCCAGGAAAGGCGCAAAGCTGCACAGAGAAACCCTGTCTCGAAAAACCAAAAAAAAAAAAAAGAATTCATCCATTAATATATAATTATGAAGGATATTTAAGGACACTGTTAAAGAATGGAAAGAATTAATATAAATTGAAAGAATTGATACAAATTTATTGTATGTGATTCAAAATTATATATCCCTAAAAGTATACAAGATATTAAAGATGGTGTGAGTTCTAAAATCATGGATTATTTTTGTTTACTTGTATGGTTTTCTTAATAATCTTGATTTGTGTCATATGTGAATGCACTGATGATGTGGTCAGAAAAAATGTGAATATTTTTGTTACTTAAGGTATTGCAGTTACATGAAAAAAATATAGAAGCCATTGAAATTTAAAGAACTTCACCTAGTTATGTGAAGTATTAGATAATATAGAACTAGATGATACTGTATTTTTCCATGTCCCAGTACTAAATGATCAATTTGAGCTTTGTAAGTTTTAAAGGGGACTAGGGTGATGGCTCAGTGGGTGAATCTGCTGCATAAGCATGAGAATGTGACTTTTGAACTCCGTAAGTGCTCGTTATGGATGCACACATCTATAATCCTAATTTTGTCAGAAGAGGAGTCAAGAGGATCCCGGGAGCTCACTAGCCAGCTCCAGGTTCAGTGAGAGACTCTGTCTCAAACAAAAGATGGAGAGATAGAAGAAAACACACATTTATCATTGTCCTCCACCCACATGCACATGCATGTGCGGATACAAATGCACACACATTACAAACACATACACAAAAACACTTAACTTCATAATCAGTGGATTGTTGTAATTCAAATCAACATTCGAACTCAAGTAGCAACCTAAGTATGGCAGGAAGAGAACAAAGGAATTATCACATACCTAATTTATCTTCTAATAACCCTGAGGGAAAATGCATTGTTGTTTAGTGAAAGAATAATGTTATGTGACTCTCGTTATTTACCATCTGCACTCACAGAACACCAAATAATAGTCATTAACATAATCAAGTTTGTTCTACAACATTTCAGTAATGGTTTTCATAGCAGAAAGCAGTTCGTCTTAGGATGCCGTTTAAAAAGGAATTGAATTTACCTAAGTTTCGTTATAAAGTAATGTTAAAACCCCAATGAAATGTAGATCAATCACCTTCATTTGTTACACACGAAAATATGTTGATTACAGAAATGAGATTAATAAAAAGTGATGATACATGTGTGATTTGGGCTCCAGTGCACCTGATTCTAATTCAAAATGAAGTTTTCTTGTGCATGGATAAGTGTAATGTTCATAGTTGAAAGGGTTACATTTGAACTGAACCCTAAGTATGACTGGAATGATAAGTATTAAAATGATTATTCCAGAATGACTTTTAGGCTCTCTACAAAGATTTGAATCAAAAGAGACATAAAATAACTCTGCTCAAATATACACTGATATATGCCCCCAAAAGCATGAAATTTCATATTTAATGCATTTCATTTTGATACCGTTGGCTTTCTATATGAGATATTATTGTTTTAACTTCTAGGTGAATATTGGATTGATCCTAACCAAGGTTGTTCAGGAGATTCCTTCAAAGTTTACTGTAATTTCACAGCTGGTGGCGAGACGTGCATCTATCCAGACAAAAAATCTGAGGGAGTAAGTACCAATCTGTTTGGTGGTGGATGTTGACAGTTCCTGCCATGTTTTTGCAATATTGAACTAAACAGGAAAATTATACTGTCGTCTTTTCATTTATCTGCTTTTCTTACAGGGTAATTAGGACGTTTCATTTGCATAAACATGAATAAGGCACCAAACCGATGTTCACGGTTTACAGACACTTCTTTCCTTTATTTTTTCCCAGATGTATTCTTTAAGCACCTGCTTGCTCTCAAAAATTCTATGGCTTTCCATGACACAGCACAGCTGAATCTCAGATCTTAGAGTGTGTATGGTATTCTCTACCCAATTATTACATGATAGAACTTGCAGCTGCATATTATGCTCAAAGTGCAAATTTTTGTAAAATATTAATCTCTTCTTTAAGTGAACATGTGCCAACTTTACATATATTTTGAACATTTACTCTCACCAAAGAAATTCCTTGATTTTTACCTCACAGTATTTGCACACTTGAGGTGTATCTGATACATGCAGATACTCAGTATGAAAAAGTATATTCAACTGACACCATTATACTTTTCTGGTATTTTATAAGTAGGACAATTTTTTTATCCTGTTAATAAATCTCATTTTTTTTAGTAAGCAGTATGGGCAGAAAGAAGAATGGAAACTACTTTAGATAAGTTGCCTAACTCTACATGTGGGAAATCTTCTTTTGAGAAGAAAAGTTAATTCTATGATTTGAGACTGTTTGATGGGGCAGGCTCTTCTCTTGGAAAAGACATAATAGGTCTTACTTACATGAGACATAAGACATCACTTACATAATTTCTGTTCCCTAATAGCCTGTAACATTCTTTTTGAGTTAGTCTCCCCCTTTTCTTTATTTTTAGGCAGAAAATCTATCAGGAAGCAAATGGCTCAATCTTCCTTCCATGAAATTCATAGGCTTTAGCTTGAAGTTTGCTCAGATCTCATTTTGTATATTACAGGGCCCATAGGATTTGGAACACTTTGTAGCCTCCTCATCCTATTGAAATTTTCTGATATATATGTGAACAGTGCTATTCATCATTTTTTCCCATTCTTTCACAACAGGTACGAATTTCATCATGGCCAAAGGAGAAACCAGGAAGTTGGTACAGTGAATTTAAGAGAGGAAAACTGGTATGTTGTCTCCTCCACATGCAACAATAGCACAAACTTCTTAAGTGAAGCTCCAGGAATGACTCCTCAGAAGTTGAATGCCAAAACACAAATGATGCCTTGCAGTATGGCTTCTCATTTGTCAGTCTGTGAGGTCTTAGATAACAATAATATCTTAAAGTCTAAAGCATTGAATCAAAATAACCAAAAGTATTTCTGAAAAAAAAAATATCAAATAAAATACCCAGTTTAACATCATAAATTATTTTTTCTAAAAGTAGCAAGAATCAAAACATAGCACCTATCTAATGTCTGTGACTCCACTTATTTTAATTTCTGTCTGCATGAAACCCAATTATTCTTTATCCCTCTTTTCCATAAGAACTTATGGAATTGGGTTTTTTTTTTCCCTCATCGATAGTTTTAGTTATATAGTAAACCAACTGACTGTTCATTTGTATGAAGTCCTTTTTTACTTAAATATTTCTATATGATTACAAATTCAACTTAATAATTTGCTAAAGATAATGTAAGATTAATGCCCCAACTAAAATTATATTAAAAACCATTGAAATACGAACTTTTAGTTAATTAGGAATTTCTCAAAATTTCCCATTAATCCTGGTAATTAATTATTTAATATTTTAAATGGTATTACTTGCCACTGGTAATGATTTATACATTTAATCTCCTTACCTATATACACACCCATCCGTATTAAGTAATGACTTGTAGTGAAGGCTTCCATCTGACTTAAAATTTTGTAGTCAGTCATCAAGTTACATGCTAAATATTCATGGTGCATGACGTAGAACATACATATTTAGAATTGTGTTATTATTTTTATTTTACTTTGTGTAAAGCATATCTCAAATACATTTTCAACCTCATGAGAATCACCATTCTAATTTTTTTATGAGTAAAGTTAAGTAACTGAATTTTAAGGAGGGAGACTACAGATTTGCATGGTCTGAATCTATAATCTGGATGGCTTTTAAATTTTGGACTATATACTATATGAGAACACAAATATTTCAATTATGCCAAATAAAATAATTGATTAAGATGTTACACCATAATAATTTGCAGCTAAAAGTATCTTCCTTCTGTGAAAACAAAGTTATTGATGCAAATATTTACAAAAATTTTCTATGGCACTATGCTTGATGATGTTGATTAAAAAAGCTATACATTATCTAAAAGTGCACAAATTCACATCTATGCTAAGAAACAAAAGCATCATAGAAGAATGTGGTCCCTGGGATATGGTTAAAGATTCAGGTAAAGTAGATATATTATAAATTTCTGAAAATCAAACAGTATAAAAACCAACCTTTACTTCACACCAAGATTTTTCCATTTTTCTTATTTTACTGTCTTACCAATTAAAAAGATGCATAACTATGCTGAAGTATCTCTTGGAGACAGGACATTTGTTTTCTCACAGTACTTACTGATTAGAAAACAAAAACAGAGATAAAGTGAATTTGTCATAAATATAGGCAGTATTGTAGTGACTGAGTTATGGGGCAGTCACAGTGCTGTTAGCAAAGCCCCTAACTCGGGGGCAAGTCACATTTTTTTATAAAGTGATAAGGTTCCATTGAGTACCAGCAAGCCCTGGCAGTGACATTCACGGTCAGTGTTTAATTCTTTATGTCAGGAAAGAAGAAAAGTCTTCATATGCCTTTTCATTCTTTTCTTCCCAGCTTTCATATTTAGATGTGGAAGGCAATTCCATCAATATGGTGCAAATGACATTCCTGAAACTCCTGACTGCCTCTGCCCGACAAAATTTCACCTACCATTGCCATCAGTCGGCTGCATGGTATGATATGTCATCAGCAAGTTATGACAAAGCACTTCGGTTTTTGGGATCTAATGATGAGGAAATGTCCTATGAGAACAACCCACACATCAAAGCGTTGTATGACGGCTGTGCGGTAAGTCCAGCCTCAGTCTGCCTTCTTTCCCAGGTGGGTGTGGGGGCAGGGTAGACAGCCTTGTTATGGCCCAAACCAGATGTCTCTCTCAAAGTAGATACCGATTATTATTAAAACTTGGTGCTTATCAGTGACACATCAAGGTAAATTATATTAGGAACCACTAAGGAACATACACACACACACACACACACACACACACACACACACACGCACACGCACACGCACACGCACACGCACACGCACACGCACACACACACACTGAAATACCTAAAAATCCCTTTTGAAGATGTAATAGAAGGTAATGTTAGATCACGTGTTACTGTGTCTATATCCAGTGTTTGAAAAATATTACCAAGTCACTCAAATAAAAAAAATAAAAACAACATACTAGTTCTCCAAATCCATGATTTTGAAATGACAGAGGATTTGCCATTATGTCAGTTATAGAACAGATGATTTTTCCTGCCTGGCCTTTAGGAAGATCAACATCCTAGCTTTGGAAAAGATTTTAACATGTGGGGATTCCATATCCTAGCTAATGCTTCAGCTTGGTGTTAATGACTAGAGGCATCTCAATTGCAAGCAACGAAGTTCCTGAGTTTAGCAAAGTGAGTCCTGGCCCCAGAGGAACAAAGAAGAGAAAATACGTGGAAGAGGCAATGCTGTGGAAAACGGCCCAGGGTGTTGCAGTTTATAAAACTGAAATACAGTAGTAGAAAGGTTTTGATGTTGTCTTACTGATTTGTCACCACTCTTTGGTGGTGTGAACCTGGGAGAACGGAGCCTAAAAATAAGACAAACTGAAGTCTCATGCAGTAGCCCATTTTACTTAGAGCATCAGCCAATTTATATTCTGAGGGTTAAGCAAGATCAAATGAATAAGTTCATGTGAGTTCAATCTGCCAAGAAACTCAAGGACAATGGCATGCTTGGAAACATTTTTTTAATAACCAAAGTAAGCAGCAATGTGTAATCTAAGACAACCCCCAGGTGAATGTAGGAAGGGGCACGAATGCACATTCCAAGAACAAACCTATGTTTAGGAGGAATAGAGGTCACAAGACTCTTGTCTTGTTTTTTGGAATTTTCTCACAACTTCTCAAAATTATCCTCACACAGCTCCATTCTCAGACCATGTTCTGACATACTTTATTCTGATTTCTCATAAAATAATTTAATTATTTTTTGTGACTGTATATCTAAAGTCAGAAGGATTTCTTATTTATGTAAGATTGAGTATGCACATTTCATATTGAATTATGTGTTTTAACTCAGATCTTTTTTAACCATGACTAATCGAGTAATTGAAATAATATAGCGAGTATAATTGTCAGCAAAGTTTAAAACTTCATGTGACATCAGTGATAACAAATGAATTCTTCCATAGTTATCAGTGATCTCTCACTTTCTTAAGTCAGATTAGATAGTTAACAAAGAAAATAACATGAATTTTAATAATATTAAGTGATGGCATAACTTTAATTTTCTGTTTAATTTTACAGTCCAGAAAAGGCTATGAAAAGACTGTGATTGAGATCAATACTCCGAAAATTGATCAGGTACCCATCATTGATGTAATGATCAATGATTTTGGTGATCAGAATCAGAAGTTTGGATTTGAAGTTGGTCCAGTTTGCTTTCTTGGCTAAGATTTGGACGAAGACTCTATGAAACCAACAGAAGAAGTACCTTGGTACTTGCCGCCAACCCAGTTCATGCCACATGCAAGTTTTGAATGAGGACAGTAGAGAACATGTGTTTAGGAAGTACGAATGCCTGCTGGAGGCGCACTCAGAGGAAAGAAGTCCTGATAGTCATAACAATGTAAAATAGTGTGGCTGAGATGGCAACGAGGCTGATTCTTGATCTCAACCGTCATCTCTCCTTTTCCTATTTGAATTTCTTTGGTGCTGGAGAAAAAAAAGAGAGAGAGAGAAAAATATATATTCATAAAAAAAACCATGGTGCTCATTCCCACCCATCAAAGATATAGTAAAAGTGTGTTTAATAAATTGTAATTATTTTATGTACAGTTCTACACTGTCATTCATGTGTCCATTTCCAAAACTTGCACGTGACTCTGAATCCCACCTAGCTCTCACTTCATGACAATTGTGGAACTGTGGTGACAATAAATACAGTGTGACAAAGACTAAAGTTGTAATTTCTGATGACTCTAATTCCCTTCCTTTGATTAATAATAAAATGCCTTTGTATATGTTCATGTTGAAGAGTTCAGTTATTTGATGGCACAAACAAATTACACTTGGGGCCAAACCCAGACTTTCAGGAGCACACGCCAATCAATTCTTTTCAGCTGACAGTAACTTGTTGAATTTCAGCCAAAAGTCTCATGCATTTTAATGCTTAATTTGGTGCTATACCTCAAATATTTTCTTCTCAGAACCCAGATTTCACAGAATACTTGTATATATGAAAAACAAGAAAGTTTATATTTTTGGACAGGAACGTATGTATGAAAAACTATTTTAACGTCCACCCAGTAAATAACTTTGTGTACAATTATTTCTCTACTTAATAGTCTCTCATTGTCTTCAGTGTGCTTCAGTAATGCCAACTAATATTAAAGATGGAAACTAAGCAAATGTTTATGAATTTGTGCAATGTTAAATTTTTAAACAATGAAATTTTTGAGTCTGATCTAAATGGCATAGTAATAACAGTCCCAGATATAATTTTATTTGCCCAACAAATACAATTTCTTTCCTCTTAAGATGATTATATTCCACATTTGACCAACCTAGTTGCTAAATATGGGTGGGCTGCTTTAAAAGTCATATTTATTCAAAACAGTCAATCCCCCTCCTTTTTCCACTAAGGTATTTTCTTTTGCATAGCTTGAATTAGCAGTAAAATTTTAAAATCACCAACTGAACTTTGTATCTATTTTAAATAATATATGTAAGACTTGAAAATAAATGTTTTATTATAATTTCTTATATGAAGTGTTAAATTAATTGATACCAGATTCCACTGGAACATTTATTAACTGATAATTTATCAAAAAGAACATAATCTGTAATAATGACAATTAAAAGTGAACATTTGTAATTCAGAATTTTTTTATTTCTGAAACCAAGTTTGTAAATGTCCTTTGGAGGAGGGAGATATGAATTTTATCAATAAATCAAGTCTTGTCTATCTGGATTGGTCATTTTCTTTCTTAAACAGGTTGCAAATCACTCTCTTCTACAGAAAGGCTTTTGATTGTCATATTTGACCATCCAGATGAGAATTCTCTGACATCTGCATGTTAGTCTTCAAGGATACGTTCTCAAATGTATAATGTAGTAAGCAATGCATGGCAAGCTCTATTTCTAAGAAAGAGATGTTATATTTAGTATTTCAAAAATATTCTTACAAGCAAATGTTTTACAAAGTCTCAAACGTGTTCATGATTTCAGAACTGAAAATATTTTCCAAGCATTTTATTTAAAAGTATTAAAATCATAATAAAATAATATTTATCAAGAAAGGTTTCTTACATCAGATACATTATGTGAGTCAGTATATATCAATGAGAGATTATGTTGCTTATCAACTCATATGAAAGAAGTTGTCTTTTTAAATGAAATAAATTTGACACCTAAGAGACTGCTATTCTTTTCTTATATGAACATTATTTTCTACATGACAGCAGGATTTTTTTCTCTTCCCTGGGATTGATTTCATCTGGAAAATAAAAAATATATAACATTCTAGTGTATAAAGCACATTTATTAGCTGCTATTTGAATAAATATGTTATTGGAATAAGAAATACAGATGATCATTTTAATCTTGCAGAAGAATGGGTCACACCCTAACACACAAGACTTTTGGCATAATTCTCTTTCAGAAGTTAAATTATAGGCCCAAAGTAAAATGACAGTGGATTATTTTAAATGAATCAACATATTTCATCAAATTTTGTTTTAATGAAACCCATCACAAATTATCAGACTATTTGGAGAAATGATTATTGATTGACATTTCTCCAATATATACATGAAAAAAAGTTTCATTTCTTACTTTGTTTTGCTATTAGAATCTGTTAGGATTGTTTTTTAAAAATTGAGAAGGTCTATTAAATTTTATTCATATGTACACATAAGATTTGCCAGAATTTTCACACAGGAGCTTCTGCTTCTGTACATTTTAAGTATTTTTTCTTTATGGCTCAGGGCATAAGGATTCACAAAGCTACGATGGTAAATATTTGTATATATACCTTCTAGTCATCCTGACATGGTTGGTGATAACATTATTTAGAACGCTGTTACTATGCTAGGATTAAAGCATCAATATACATATAATTTACAGAATATCTTATAAATTATATACCTCTCTGTATAATTATTATTACAAATACCAAATAAATAACTCCGAATTGAGCATTTTCCCAGTGGCTACTTCTATACCAAATGCAAGGATGTGAAAGAGACATAAGAAGGCAAAGGTAGTTTTCTAAACTGATCCCATGGTAAAAATGTCTTAGAAACATGATTTTTTTTTTCAGAAAACTTATGTTTTTAAATAATACAATTCAGGAGAATGGCAATGAATCTTTTTTTTAATTCCATTTCAAAGTCTTCTGCATGGAGGATAACTGCACCCTATTAACTAAATATCTAGCCCATGCCATCTAAAGAGCAGTAGCTGCTGCTGCAGTTATCACAGTTTCAGTTCCTGACATGTAGCTGAGAACACTCTCACATGACATGCACAGTCCAGAACTTCCATAAATATTTAGTTGTTCAGAAGTTAATCCTTACACCAACCTGTCATTACATAGTCCCAAACTAGCAGAGTCTCACCTGCCAGGTTAGAATCAACAGGTTACAATAATAACAAGCCTTGTCACAAGCCACGTTAATATGCAGCAATTTCATACTCACCAGAAAAAGCTCCATATCTCTCTTCCTTGTACCAGGATGTTTTCCTTTCCAGAAGGGTGAGTTTAATAGGTCCAGGGTCCTCTCAACTTCTATACTTGGCTCATCCCATCTTCTGCAACTGGCTGTAACATTAGCCATAGCTTGATGCACTTACAGCCCACAGAGTCGTGAAGATTGCAAGGTGATTTACTGTGAAGTAACTGACAGAAAAAAATGGCCTGAATACAACATTACAAGTTCAGTAATTGCTACCTATCAATCCCTAGAGAAGCTTCAGTTTTTGTCTTATCTAAATCCAGTAGTCAATAAATATGAGGAAATTTGATCAGGACAAAACAGAACGGCAGAAAAGTTTGAGAAACATGGCTAAGTTTTCTCTTCAAAAACTGCAAGTTGCAGTAATCTCTGGAAGGCTTTTTCACTATAGCTAGCTCTTGTTTAATAGCATCCTTTCATTGACAGGTCTGTATGCAAGACTGTTGACAAGAAGACAGACATAAGTACCCAGCTCTATTTTCAAATTACCTTTTTGTGTCTTTTATTAAATAGATTTTAATTTGTCTATGTCTATAATTAAATAAAGAGGTAGACAATGTTTCCATAATAGAAAGATTTATATTTTATAAAATGATAAGTAAAACTTACATCCTTATACCCCTTCTATCCACTGGCATTCTATCACACACTGTGACCAGAAAGTAATCAGTAAATTCATTAGCATTTAATACCTCTGTTCCAAACAAAATATTTGCATGTTTTCCCCACAGAAGGGAATAGTTCTAGAGCACAAAAGAAAATGTATCTGAAATGAAAGAGAATTCTTTCATCAAACCTATGTGGGCTTGACTTTAAATTTAGTGGAGCAAAGATAAACAGTAGGAAAATTTATTTGTAGGAATCACCAACCAGCCTTGTGCAAACATGTGTAACTAAACCCTTAATAACACAAGCTCAGGTACCTCATCTAATTCAGAAAAAAAAATTATTTTTAAGTTCTTAAGTAAGAATGAGTCTTATATCTTCATGTGTGTATAAAGATTTTACCTTAAAACATGCTTATCTCAAAAGCAAATCCAATATAAATTTATAAATAAATAAAATTGCAACTGGAGAGAGGCTCACTAATTAAGGGAGAGTTCTGCTCATACACAGGACTTGAGTTTGGTTACCAGCACTAACTCAGGTAGCTCACAAATAACCTGTAACTCCAGATCCATGGATTCCTATACTCTCTTCTGGCCTTGTTGGGTACCTACTCACACAGACATATACAGACACACATTATTAAAAATAAGAAATAAATAAATAAAGCACAGTTTTAACATTGACCATGAAAGAATTGTTCTTTTTAAAATATGGCTTATCTTTAGTTTGATAAAGCTGCAGAAATGGATTTTATCAGTTGTAATAATGAGATTCCTGACACATTTCTAAGAGAAAATATTCTAAAATTCTGGAAGATGTCCTGTTTCATAGGTGATTTGCATATGCTGAAGATAAATGCTGTTCTCCATGCTTAATTGTGGTTTGGGGTCTCAATTATGACTAGTCTTTGAGAGCAAGCAACAACAATATCCTATTCATGTCTTCAAATTAGTTCTTTTCATATAAAATCTTCATCTGAAAGACATAAGAGGTGAATCATCAAATAAACATAAAAAGTTATGAACAGTTCTTCAAGCTAACTCTAGGTAACTTCACTCAAGTAGAGTATCTGGAAGCAAGTTCAGTGGCAGCCATACTGAGTCCTCACCAGCTAGTATGGGAGCTTCTGAGCAAAACCCTCAGTGATGCGCATTCTTCAGACTCATACACACTGTTATGAGAAGCATTAGTATTTACGAAGTCTCTGAGTTGTCTTTAAGTTGCACATCTGTTAAACAAAAGGAATGACACGTTCAGACCATTCTGTGTCTTTGGAGAGTCAGAAGACCCAGTCAACTGAGGGAGAAATAAGACAGCTTTGTACTTTATCCATTCCTGTGCATTCAATCACTTCTACATAAAGTCTTTGTTTTATCAAATGCTTTGTCTGAAAGGAGCCATATGTAACAGTCTCAGGAAGTTTGGGGAACAGAGAACATTAATGTCTAATTAGCAATGAAGGGCTTTCAGTGACCCATGAATATCCTTTTTCTGTTCTTTTTTTTTTTTTTTGTCAGTATTTATTTATTTATTTTTATTTTATTTTATTTACAATACAATTCAGTTCTACATATCAGCCACGGATTCCCTTGTTCTCCCCGCTCCTGGCCCCCTCACCTTCCCCCCAGCACACCCACCCCCCGTTCCCACCTCCTCCAGGGCAAAGCCTCCACCAAGGACTGAGATCAACCTGGTAGACTCAGTCCAGGCAAGCCCAGTCCCCTCCTCCCAGGCCCAGCCAAGCGACCCTGCATAGGCCCCAGGTTTCAAACAGCCAACTCATGCAATGAGTACAGGACCCAGTCCCACTGCCTGGACGCCTCCCAAACAGATCAAGCCAATCAACTGTCTCACCCATTCAGAGGGCCTGATCCAGTTGGGGGCCCCTCAGCCATTGGTTCATAGTTCATGTGTTTCCATTCGTTTGGCTATTTGTCCCTGTGCTTTATCCAACCTTGATCTCAACAATTCTCGCTCATATAAACCCTCCTCTTTCTTGCTAATTGGACTCCCAGAGATCCACCCGGGGCCTAGCCGTGGATCTCTGCATCCAGATCCCTCAGTCATTGGATGGGGTTTCTAGCACGACAATTAGGGTGTTTGGCCATCCCATCACCAGAGTACGTCAGTTCGAGCTGTCTCTCAACCATTGCCAGCAGTCTATTGTGGGGGTATCTTTGTGGATTTCTGTGGGCCTCTCTAGGACTTTGCTTCTTCCTATTCTCATGTGGTCTTCATTTACCAAGGTCTCCTATTCCTTGTTCTCCCTCTCTGTTCTTGATTCAGCTGGGATCTCCCGTTCCCCCAAGCTCTCTTTCCCTCGACCCTCGCCCTTCATTTCCCCCACTCATGTCCAGACTGTTCATGTAGATCTCATCCATTTCTCCGTCATTGGGCGATCCCCGTGTCTTTCTTGGGGTCCTGTTTCCCAGGTAGCCTCCCTGGTGATGTGAGTAGCAGTCCAGTCATCCTTGTTCCACATCTAGTATCCTCCTATGAGTGAGTATATACCATGTTTGTCTTTCTGAGTCTGGGTTACCTCACTCAGGATGATTTTTTTCTAGATCCATCCATTTGTCTGCAAACCTCATGATGTCATTGTTTTTCTCTGCTAAGTAGTATTCCG